TTGTGTTCCAGTGGGTGGTGGGAGTCAAAACGCAAATATTGGTCTGTGTGGGTGGGCTTACGATACACGCCAGTTTCCAACCGTCCTCCATCTGAAGCCGAGACATCGCAATCCAGGAACGCCAACCTGGAGGCAGGACTCAAAAGCCTGAATTTTGCCTGAAACTCTCAGACTGAAGAAGTCTCTTGGAAGAGAGATGAAACTTTTCATTAAAGAAGAACCCGTCCAGAGGACCTATACAATTTTTTTTCCTTTGATTTTTTTTACCTGGATTACTGAGATGCATCAGGACATTTTGCTGGTCATGTTTCTTTATTTTATTTTTTACTGCTTTATGACACAGATGTTGGGTGTGGCTATGCTGCACATGTTTTGCTTCATTTTGTCATCTTTCGATTCTTTGTCGTTTTTAAAATGGCCCTCTGGGCACGAAAAATTTGTCCAACCCTGCCCCATATTAAACAAAGAAGTTAGTTTGACATATGTTTAAAATCTGTCAAACATCATGTGTATATGTAAGGAAAAAGGCCACATGAAAAATCCCAAATATAAATTTAGCCTTAGTAAAAGAGCTGCTTCTAAGCCAAAACAAGAAATCACCATTGTTTATTGACGCAATGCTGCYACCCTGTGGAAATTAAGGAGTACTGCATCAATAAACATACTTTCTATTTAATTCGGACACATATMTATGGATGTCTCTATGTGTGGTCCTGTGATGGACTTGCTACCTGTCCAGGGTGTAACCCCGCCCCTCGCACTGTGACTGCTGGATATAGGCACCAGTGACCCACGCGACCCTGAAAAGGAAGAAGCGYGTACAGAAAATGGATGGATGGACAGCCATATGGAAAGCCCTCGCTGACACAATCACGTGATCATTACGCGTCCATTTGACACGTAAACAAAGCGTAAACAACGTGTGTTATATATATATATATGTGTGTGTGTGTGTGTGTGTGTGTGCTAATGGCATGAAATTTTCACCAGTGTGTTTCAATACTGTGTTTCCTCATGATGGTCACTGACAGCAAGCCCTCTCTACTGTTCAAGAAAATAATGAACTCTTTAGGGAATATTCTTCACTATAATACCAGATGATGTTTTGCCCCAGTTTTAAATGACAAGCCATACCTTCTGTTGTTCAAGATGATGAAGACTGGTAGATAATTAGATATTAGTGATACTGTATTGAAATTTTAGAAAGAGCAAAACTGCACATGAATTACAAAAATTAGTAAGACCGCTAGAGTGCAAATGAAATATTTAGGTCCGCAATTAGAAGGATTTGCGCTTTAGTGAAATGGTGCCCACCACTGTGTGTGGCAAACCTATTTTTACAACCCATTACTTATTTAGACTTTTTTTTCACTCAATCTCCATTTAATTCAACATTTTCCCGCAACTAGAAATCATTTCTGATGGTGCAGAGAAGAGAATCTGAGGAATATCTCACACTCTGGACACATTTGCGTCTACAATGTCTGGTAGTGGTTGGCGGAACTTTCAGCGCGTTTTTGTTGTTCCGGGGACCAATAAACAGACGGCACGGTTGTTGCACCGATCTGATTCCCCCTTAAAACCGGACTGAGAGCACGTGTCCTCATTAATCCTCTTTATCTGCTACATTCAGGTCAGAAATCTGTAAATTCGCCGCAAATCTTCCGATATTCAGACTAATTT